GCTCACATCCCCTCATAACCCTATTCTTGTGAGCTACTAGAACTCTTTTTGTGAAAGAAGTGTAAACTTTGCGCTGGATACCTTTCTGCTGCTTCTGATAAACAGCCAAGTAACTTTGCTGTGAAAGTGGCTGTGCATCTATTTGCAAGATGAACAGCAGGTCTCAGCTAGTACCAGAGCAGGACAGCAGGGGATTTTGGTTTCCTTATCCATGGGCTCTTTCTCCATGTTCATACACACCTTCAGTTCAAGGCAGAATTTGGAGAAAAATGATGGACATTTTTAATAGAAAGAAAAATCAAACCAGCCATGTTATTAAACTGCAATACCTGGGAAAGAACAAAAACTGACCAATACAATACAGTGAGGTAACAACATTTTCCAGAAGGGGACTGCCCAATTAATTTATAAAGGGGAATGAGAGAAAGGAGCAATTCAATAACCACATGTATTGAATAAGAAAGACTTCTAAGGAAAGTGTATTTGCACCCAATTCTGTTTTACTTATGCATTTTTTGAATACTGGCTTTCATTTAGCTAACAGGTCCGCAAAGACAGGTACAGGACTGGGCAGGACTGTCCACAGAATGGTTTGGGTTAGAAGGGATCTCAAAGATCATCCAATTCCAACCCCATGGGCAGGGACACCTTCCACTAGACCAGGTTGCTCAAAGCCCCATCCAACCTGGCCTTGAACACTGCCCGGGATAGGGCAGCAGCCACAACTTCCCTGGGCAACTTGTTCCAGTGTCTCACCACCCTCACAAGGAAGAACTTGTTCCTCATATCTAACCTAAATCTTCCCTCTTTAAGCTTAAAGCTGTTACTCCTTGTCCTGTTACTACTTGCTTTTACAAAGAAGTCACAGTATCACATTATCACAGTATGTTAGAGATTGGAAGGGACCTCAAAAGATCATCTAGTCCAATCCCCCTGCCGGAGCAGGAACACCTAGATAAGGTTACACAGGAACGTGTCCAGGCGGGTCTTGAATGTCTCCAAAGAAGGAGATTCCACAACCTCCCTGGGCAGCCTGGCCCCCTTTATGTATTGGAAGGCTGCTGTAAGGTCTCTCCTGAGATTTCTTATCTCCATGCTGAACAAGCCCAGCTTTCTCAACCTGTCTTCATAGGAGAGGTGCTCCTGCCCTCAGAGCATCTTTGTGGCCCTCCTCTGTACTCACTCCAACAGGTCCATGTCGCACTTGTTTTGGGGCCCCAGAGCTGAACACAGCACTGGAGGTGAGGTCTCACGACAAAGGGTGTAAAGGGGGAGAACCACCTCCCTCGACCTGCTGGTCACAGAACTGCATTAGCTTTAAGCAGACAAGTTAGGGTGCCAGCGCCGATTAGCTGGACACATTTAAGATTTGCACCCCGCTCCTCATTAGCATTAATTAGCCAGCATCATACCTCTGCTGCTGCCAGGATCAGGCAGTAGTTCCACAGTGCTTAATGCCGAGTATGGAGCTGCCAGAGCATGCAGCGGGGAGCTGATGTCAAGACCCGCATCTTTCTGCCAAGGGCAGAGGAGAGCAGAGACCCAGTTCAGCAGAAAGCTGGAGCAGCGTGGACAGATAACATCTCCTTTGGCACAAAGCCTCCCAGTGTAACTCCAACCTGCCAAAAATGCATGAGTGAACACCAGGGCTAAGGCTCAGCTTTGCAATGTGCTTCTCCTGACCCAGTAGCGATGGCTGATGAAAGGCCCCATCCTGCACACCCCCTCACACGTGGCCTGGTGATGTGGTTACAAGGTAAACTGGGGCTCCACCAGGTCCAGCCCCAGAGAAAGGATTGCAACACGAGTGACTGGAGCAGGGGTGTTCAAGATGTCACCTCCCTCCCCAAAGTAAGCCGCTATCAGGTTCTCAGCTTGCCAGCAACACAACATTAATTTAGGTGAAACAAAGTGACCTTGTAGAAAAGCAGATTCTGCAGATACGGCTCAATAGTTCTGCCAGATAGAGTGTTTTTATCACTAGAAAGTCACACTTTCACCCCGAGGCCATAATCTCAAAAGACACACTTAAAAATGTGTAGAACATAGAATGAGTGATTTTTTTCAATAGAGGTTCAGGAAAGAAATCCCTCACAGACTTAACACTTTATTGATATTCTTGGTTACAGCTCCACACATGCCAAGCAGGATCAGCTGCTGGTAAAGGCCATGATTCATGTCTTTCCATTTAAAGGCTGCAACAAAGAATAAAACTATTTCCCAACTAACAAAGGGGAAACCTTCAATTCGCTAGAACGGTTTCAGCTCTCATTGCATTAGCACCCTCCAGTGTCCAATCCATGAAAAACAACACTGTCACTAATTTGCCAAGTAGACTCAGATTCGGGAGTGTGAAGCACAAGAAAGAGAAGTGATGGATGAGTGGGAGGAAAGATGGCAACAGGAGAGGAGAGGAGAAACTCCCAATGCTAGAAGTTTTAGGTGACATAGATGCAGTCCCTGAACAAGACCTGACACAGGATCATTACTCTTCTCAGACTCCCTTTTTCCCAGCAGCTGTTCTGGTGTCTGCACCTTTGGCACACTGTACTCCACATGCCCACATGGTGTATTCCATACTCAGCAGTGCTCCACCAAGATGTGAGCTTAATGGTGCAACTTTTGATTGACTTAGCATGGGTACGTAGGTACAGATCTGCCTGGAATATGCCATGCAAATAAATACATACAAAAAACCCTCTCGTGCATGGGAGGCAGGGAGAGCCCAAAAGCTCTGGAACATCACAAATAAGCAAAACCAGTGCTGAGTGCAGTAGGTTTCACCTGCCTGCTAATGAGGCAAATGCTCCATCAACATTCTCATGGCAGCACTGCCCAGTGGCTTTGCAGGGGCAGCAAAATCCACATGAAAAGAGGGTGGTGGCAGCTGGGAAGGCAGTCACACTGCATCAGTGGTACCTGCTGTAATTCAGGTCCCAGCCCAGCATTGTGTCAATGAACACTGTGGGACCCAGGCACTATGGTCCGGACCCAGTGGACTCCTGCTGAGGACCACAGAGCTGCTAATGAAATCCAACTGTGTGCATTGACTGGTGGTATTTGAAGTCATCCCTGTATTTTCTCTCTCCACGGCACACAGTTGCCCAGCTCAAAGGTGAGCAAGGCCTCCTCATGCCTCATCCTGCCCAGGTCTCTGACTGGTTCAATGCCCCAAATTCTCTGGTCTCCACCTGAGTGGTGGCTTCTCAGGCATCACAGCAGCACTGAGGAGCAGGGGCAGGCAGTCCCACTGCAGGGAGGCTGTCACATCTCCTGGGAGTCATGTGAGAGGGTGCTGGTACTTGGTATCTACATCCCATCCCATAGCAGCACCAGCCAGGGAAGTCCTTTCTGACCGCAGCTGGAGGAGAGCAGCCTCACCATGGGCATGTGGTCAGCCTCCTCTCCAAGCCCTGAAAGGTGCTATGCAGATACAGTGTGATCATCTGATTGCCCTCACACTGTGCAGGCTCCTCCTCACAGTATTAATACTCAAAATTCCTCATGACCCGAAACAGCAAGGCACAGCATTGATGATTCTTCTGCAATAATGGGGCAGGAGAAGGAAAGAAAGAAAAAGGCTTGTACACACATGCATCTTCTCCAGAAACAGACTGTGAAAGCAAGCTTACAGGGCTAGGCTGGAAAAACAACCCTGGGTGCTACGCAGGACAGCATTACTGTGGGCAAGAAAGGCTGACATGGATTTTATGGGCTGTTCACAGCACCTCTAGCACAGCACAAAGCAGTCCAGCTGTTCCCAAGGTTCCCCAAGAACACCAGCATCAATATTGCATGTTCACAGTAACATCTATGTTACAGTTATTACAGACTGCTACTCTTTTATTACTCAACTATAAAATATTTATAGTATCATGGTCTCAGCAGAGACTACAAGAATTTAAAGCTTTAAAGATTAAACCAAAATAACACTTGGTTTCCTGCCTAATAGCAATATTAAAGTATCTGTTCTCCCTCTAGAACTGCTGTTGGAAACCTCCCTTAAATCAGCACAGACCCAACAATCAGTCCCTTGGGCAGAAGGCATCCTCTGCCTGCAGGTAATACGCAGGCACACACCAGCAGGCAGAAACCTGGACATTAAAACCACACAGATCTCCAGGAGAAAGGTGTGGTGGAGCTCTCATCTTTACACAGTCCATGTCACTCATGGCCTGATTCTGCAAACTGACCTGCATGGGGACCGTGTATTTACAGTGGAGCTTTTCCGAGCACCGTGCCCCAAGTCCATGCCCTGACAGCTACCTGACCAGCTGTGCGAAAGCACCCGGTGACCTTGGGCCCTTTACAAGTGCACATAAACCACCTGTGTAACCCTCCCTCGTCCAGCCACTGCTGTGGCAGAGAAAAAGGAACGTCACCCCTCTGGACCAACAAAGGCCCCTTCAAACCTGGGACGAGGGGCGCTGATGGGGCTGCTGACAACCCCACTCTGCCCAGATCACGATCTATGCTCAGCTCTATCAAGGATGATTTATCAATGAAAAAGACAACACGGCATTCCCTTGGAAGGAGGGAACCCAACGGTACCGATCCAGCCCGAGCTGCACCAAACCAGGCACCCGAGCCAGCCCAATTTCGTGGTAACTGGAAGAAAGTTCTGTTTTCACACTGCTTGTGCCCCGAGGGACGTGCCTTACCGGTGCCCTCATGGGGAGGCACCGAGCGGCGGCAGGCTCGCCCACCAGAGGCTCCCGAGCTGCTGCCGACCACGCCAGCGGCAGAGCCAGGGTCCCGCGGCTTCTCCCGGCCGCGACCCCAGCAGGCTCACCCCGCAGGCGGAACCGGCTCCGCCACGACCCCGCTGCCCCCTGTCCCGCTCCCGCCGGGTCACGGCGGGCCCACAGCCGGGGCCGGGAGGTGTTAAGGTGAGACCCCCCCCGCTGTGGCGGCTGCTAGGGAGCGGGGCGGTGCCTGGGGTCCGCTGGGGTCCGTTGTCCCGCCCCCCGCGCGCGGCCCCCGTCACTCACAGCCTGCACCTCCCCCGGCGCAGCCCAGCCCGCCGGCAGACCCACGCCGCCGCCGCCGCCATCATCACCGCCTCGGCACCGCCTCCACACACCGCCCATTGGCTGCGGTGGCGGCGTGCCCCGCCCCGCGCTGCTGATTGGTGCCCCGCGCCACGCCCCCCACGTGCCCGAGACGGCCGCGGTCGGGCAGGACCCGGGCCTCTGCACAGAGCCGTTAGTGACCGTTGGGGTCTGACGGTCGGGGTATGCCCCTGCAGCAGCACCGGGGCGGGCCGCGCTCCCTTCCGGGGTGGTGTGTGAGGGGGTCAGCTGCTCCCCGGGCAAAACCACAGCTGCCACTGCAGCCAGTTCCCCCTCCGTGCAGCGGTGGCTGTGCCGGTACAGCCGTTGTGGTAGCGCACCGTCACCCAGCCGGGTGCTGGAGCAGGCCTCGGTACACCGCGGTACAGTTGGGGTGTGTGTGTGGTGGTGCTGGCTGAAGCTTTGTGGTGGCTTGCGAGGCGTGCCTCTGACGCCAGGGGTCAGTTCTGGCTGGGATGTGCCTGCTCTGCATGTCTCAATATGGGAATAACGGCCACAAGTGGAAATAGCTCATTCTTGCAGAGGATAGAGGCAAGACTAAAGGTAACATTTGCACTCTACAACTACCTGAAAGGAGGTCGTAGTGAGGTAGGGGTCGGTCTCCCAAGTAACAAGTGTTAGGGCAAGAAGTAATGGCCTCAAGCTGTACCAGGGGAGGTTTAGATTGGATATTGGGAAAAAATTCTTCACCAAGAGAGTGCTCAGGCATTGGAACAGGCTGCCCAGGGCAGTGGTGGAATTGCTGTCCCTGGAAGAGTTCAAAAACCGTGTAGATGAGGCCCTCAGTGACATGGTTTAGTGCTGGACTTGGCAGTGCTGGGGTAATGGTTGGACTTAACGATCTTAAATGTCTATTTCAACCTGGTTGATTATGTTATTCTATGAAGTATCAAGGGAGGGGGCAGGAAGGAAATGAAATTTAGAAGGAAAGGGACCTGAAAATGTAGCAGAGATTCTGCTGATTTGCTTTTTCCCACCAGTACAAAGCTAGACTTGAGAATGTTTTGTTCTTGCCATGTTGCTTGAATGTGCTGGAGTGGGCACAAAGCATAATCCTAGCAAGCTCCTCCAGCAGTGGTGATTTTTCGCCCAGGTTTCCTAAGGACAGGAGCTCGGATTTTGCCAGCTGTCTGTTCCAGCGTCTCCCATCCCTTCCCTCCCACAACTGCTGAACACATTGCCCATTTTGGAACAAGCTTGGCCATAGGTTGAGAAAGTTGGGGCTGTTCAACCTGGAGAAGAGAGGGCTGTATGGAGACTTCATAGCAGCCTTCCAGTATCTGAAGAGGGGCTATAAGGATGCTGGGGATGGACTCTTCATTAGGGACTGTAGTGATAGGTCAAGGGGTAATGGGTTAAAACTTAAACAGGGGAAGTTTAGATTGGATATAAGGAGGAAATTCTTTCCTGTTAGGGTGGTGAGGCACTGGAATAGGTTGCCCAGGGAGGTTGTGAATGCTCTGTCCCTGGTGGTGTTCAAGGCCTGGTTGGACAGAGCCTCGGGTGACATGGTTTAGTGTGAGGTGTCCCTGCCTATGGCAGGGGGTTGGAATTTGATGATCTTAAGGTCCTTTCCAACCCTAACTATTCTATGAGGGATCCCAAAGACACTCATATTCAATGGGTTTTATAAAATCAGGAAAAGGATAATTAAACAACACCCCAAAACAGTGCTCCTGCTCCTTGATAGGCCTGGGCTCACATCAATGTAGGTCAAGCTCAAGTCCTCATGGAAGAGCTTTTTTATTTTCTAGTGTTGCTGAGTTTTGCTGTATAATTTTGTTCTTCCCCTGACACAAAATTTGATTTTCTTTCTCATAGGGCTGTGTAGGAATTTTCCAGTCTGGCTTAGCATCACTTTACTGGGAAGCGGTGTCAGCAAGTGTGAGTTTCCCCTTCTAGCAAAATGAAATATGCTGTTTTGAAGAGCTGTGCTCAAGCATGAAAGTGACCTGCACTCAACTTCCCCACCTTAGTAATCTTGCTTGCTTAAATCTGACATGACTTGATAACAAAGAAACAGTTCCTGGTACCACTAGCAGCACAGTAGGGTTAACCCTTTTCTGAGTAGGTCCAGAGAACTGTGTGTGGCAGAGACTCTTCCTTCTCCCTCCTTTCACTAATGCCTCCCTCCCCTTGCCCTCTCGTCCCACCAGAATTAACTCCTTGGGGAAGCCTTCCTCATGGGAGATGATATGGCATGAGGTGGTGGAGGAGTGTTTGGAACTTGTCTCCTGCCCCTCTCTTACTTCTGCAGGGACAGGGAATTTCTTTCCTGGACCTCTCTTGTCTTGTCCCTTTATGACTGCAACACTCCCATGTGTACAAAGTGTTCTCCTTCCCCACTTTGCTGGTGAGACTGGCCAGCAGTGGGGAAAAAAAAAAGATGCATGGGCCCTGGCAGACCATCTTGGCTGTTACCTCTCTATGATTCCACATGGCAGCCTGGAGAGGATGAGAGCAGTGGTACAGTCAGCTAGGAGCAGCAATCCCTCCCCCCTCCACCCAAAACGTGGATCTCTTTTGCAGCAACAGCATTTAGTGCTGCAACATCAGATGGAGGAGGACACCATGGTGACAATGGATCAGCACTGAGCAGCTTTCAAGTTTTGTCAGACTTTCAAGTTTTGACTTGTCAAAAGTGCAGACACTTTTCCAGCACTGGTAGTGGAGTATAGGTTGTGTTCGAATGTCAGAAAGCCTGAGGTAGCCTGTTCATTTCCAAATGATATATGCCTCTTTGACTCATAAATGATCATAGGAACACAGGGATCTCAAGTAAGTCTCATTACTGTCTTTTCCCTTCTGTATTCTGGGAAAAAACACTGTTTGTCTGTCTTGCCCTTTTAAAATTGGAAGCCTTTTAAAGATGTTGTGTTTTCCATTAATTGGATTAGGCCAATGTAACATTTTCCAGGATGCACAGAAGGTATTTATGAGCTTAACTCCCACTGACATAGTCAGGAGTTAGGCACCCAGGTGCTTCTGAGGATGCGAGTCTTGCAGCAGCAGGATCTTTGGGGTTAAGATACTTGGAGGTGCATATACATGAAGAGTATGTGGAGAAAAAGGTCTCTGAGCTCAGCTGGGGCTGGTGTTCAGGTTTGATTTTGTTGGTGTTGTTGGTGTTTGTGTCTTCTTGCAAAACCTCAAGGGCACAAATGTTCCAGCTGCACATATGACACCTACACACAGAAACAGATCAGAGAGAGGGATTCTGTAAGTTCTCAGACAGAAATCAAATTATGAAGATTAAATGACTCATCAACTGTGCTGCTGAAAATCATTTAGCAATTTTAACAGACTGGCCAAAATAATCTAAAAAAAGATAACTGCCTACCCGTGTTCCTCCTGTTATGTCAATAAAGCACCAGAGCCACCCCAGTGCTACAACGTACATTTCAAGTACACTAGTTTTTAGAACTGTTTCATTTCAAACACTTTTTTTGTTTGTTTTTTTGTAATGGTGGTTTAGTATCCTTATGAAAGCATAAGGTTGCTATGAAAAAGCAAACCAAATATTCTGGAAGATAATATGGTTGTCATTGTTCTACACTCATTTTCTAACTCTTTAATGATCTCCTAATGGTATGACTAATGACTAACAGGTATTTTTGCACAAGAAAGGGAAAAAGCAGCAATGTAGCACAGAAATATTGTGGAACCACTAATGAGCCATACTCATAAAAATAAATAATCTTTTATTGGAGTCTGAGTAGAAAAAAAGACCTTTGGTGCTGCCTGAAGCTATTGCACATCAGCATCCTCTTGACACTCGTTTGCTTTGATTTTTAACAAGGGAAGTGAACATCGAAACAGCCAAGGTATGACGTGCCTTCCCCTTGATACTGTGAACACAAACACATGTCCTTGTTGGGTGAGAATGGGAAATAAGTAACTACTGGCACCAATCTTACTGATACTTCTGCGCCTCTTTCTGACAGACACCTATTTTTGCTGGCCAGCAGTGTTAAAGTGCCTCTGTGGTGAACGTACTACTTTGGGCCTGGTCTCCTACCTGGCCAAGTGCTTGCGGGTGCAGCCGTGTACCTTGAATGCCTCCTAGCTTCCAGAGCACTTGTCACCTGGTGGGAGCCTTCTCCTGCAGTGCTCCTGTACCACACAGAGCCAACATCATGCCCATGGGTAAAGAACATAGCTGTGCCCAGGGAGCTGCCGAGGCTGTTTGGCTCTTCCTATAGGAGGTGAAGAGCCCAGAGAAGAATCTGCTTTTCAGCAACAAGAAAATCTCAGGGAATCTCCCTCAAAACTATTGATGTAAAACTAGAAAAAAAATCAGGAAACACTGAATAGCTTTCATGGGTGCAAAATGAATTTTCCAATGTCTATTAATTGCATCATTATGTTTAACAGAATCACAGTTATGGGGTACATGTTGTATCCCAGCAGTGCATAGTGGTTTAATCCACCATAAATCCATGTAGAATACATCAACTGGAGTCTATCCATTTAGCATGACTGAAAGTGGATTGAATAGTCCTGGTACATAAAGACGGGGTCATTTTGTCAAGAAAAGCTCTCTCTGCAGTGTTGAAGGGCTTGAAGAACCCCACCTTCCCTTTTTCAACCATCTTGAAAGCACGGATCAGTCACCTGCTTCCTCCTCCTGCGGAGGGCAGAGTGCCCCTGTTACCAGCGTCCTACTGAACTAGGGGAAATCTGCATGTGGATCCTCCACAGGTCACAGCAAGCTCCTCAGAAAGGCAAATACCCTTTGCCTATCTCAAGCTCCTCACCAGTGATGCTCTATAAAGGTTGTTTTTCCAAGTCTGTTCTCCACATTTGAAATCAAACCCTTCCCTTCCCCAGGTGAACTGTTAGCAAGCAACATCAACAGATGGAACAAGAAAGTCAAAAAAGTGAGACACATCTGGAAAAACTGCAGGGCCAGTAGCTGAGGTGAAGCTGCAGGGAGCAGAAAATATGAGAACAGGTCCAACCATAAATCGAAGAGAAGTGCCCATTAAGT